CAGCTACTCGGGAGGCTGAGGCAGGAGAATGGCGTAAACCCGGGAGGCGGAGCTTGCAGTGAGCTGAGATGCGGCCACTGCACTCCAGCCTGGGCAATAAAGCGAGACTCTGTCTCAAAAAAAAAAAAAAAAAATCTGTGTGAATACGGCCAGGTGTGGTGGATCACACCTGTAATCCCAGCACTTTAGGAAGCCAAGGCAGGCAGATCACTTGAAGCCAGGAGTTCAAGACCAGGCTGGCCACCAAGGCGAATGTCCATCTCTACTAAAAATACGAAAATGGGCATGGTGGCACACACTGAAGTCCCAGTTACTCAGGTGACTGAGGCATGAGAATTGCCTGAACCTAGGAGGCAGAAGGTGCAGAGAGCTGAGATGGAGCCACTGCCCTCCAGCTTGGGTGACAGAGTGAGACTTTGTCTCAGAAGAAAACCTCCAAGACTGTGCCAATAAACTAAACATAACTGAACTACACACTTTAAAAGGGTGAATTTTTAAAATTGTGGTTAAATATACATAAAGGAAAATTTACCACTTTAACCACTTTTAAGTTCAGTGGCATTAAGTATATTCACACTGTTGTACAATCAGCATAATCATCAACCTCCAGAGCTTTTTCAAAGGGTTCATTTTATGATATATGAATTACAGATAAAGCAAGCTGTTCTTGAAAATCTATAAAAAGTAAGATTTTCATAAAAATCCATGAAAAGTAAGTATACAAAGGAACTTTCAAAAATAATAAAAACATTCTGTGTCTTGATTTGGGTGATGGCTATATGGTATATCCATTTTTAAAAATTCATTAATTTTGAACACCTAACAATATTGTTTATTGTAAAAACAGGCAGAACAAAACAAAACTATCAAAACTTGCAATACACTGAAAGACATTTTAATTTTCTATAATGACTAGTTATGTTCAAATAGTTCTAAAATACCGTTTTTGGTTTTTTTTTTTTTTTTTGAGATGGAGTCTCGCTCTGTCGCCCAGGCTGGAGT